TGTGTCGTTAAAGTTTCGTTGGAACGAAGTTACGGAAAAATCAATTAACAAACGGAGACGTAACAATATTCTAAATTATAAAGAGAGTTAGCTATGGCACCTAGGTATCACACACTTAAAAACCGAATCTTAATGTACCTCATTGTAGGTAACCCTTTACAAGTTACAACAATGCTCTTCAGTGGGATTAGTTAAATTAATAATCAATATTACTCCAATGTTATTGACTTTGATTCTTCGACCAACTATTGTTTAATGCTTATCCACGAGATTAACGTCTCACAAGTCTATAGTGTTACGTCTCTGGTCGTTTGTAAATTTTCCGTAAAAATGCTTTCCAAAGAAACTTTAACGATACAAGTCCTTTCTTAAAGAAAACTAGTTTATTCTTTCTCAATACAACTTTGAAATTCACTTAATTTCCACGGTCACGCTATAATTCAAACAAACGCTATAATTCACAACGAACGACACACGCGCTCGACCCAACTTTCCGTCTCTATCTGTGTCTGCAATTCAACTACATTACATCGTTGCCGTCACTTCTTACCGGTCTTATATATACAAGAATACCGCATATCTAGTAATCTCTCGACACTTCAGGAAGGGACACGAACGTTCTATAAGCGCATGGCGTGTTACTAGAGTCACGTGACCTCCGCTGTCGTAACAATAATAATTTGGAGCTAATAAACGGACTCTCTATTTAATATTTTGTATCTCTATTGAAATATCTTCGGGTAATTACTTTATAGAATCCGTGAATATTATGACTGCATCGCAAACAAAGTTTTCGCATTTTCAGTAAATGTAGAGTTTAACGTCTTTTAGCAAGTAAAAATATCCCAGTACTTCTTTTTTGTATCGTTAAAACTAACATTTCTTTGTAAGATGAGCAAAATAAGGTTTAAATGGCTTTGTTTGTTTGTTGAATTTTCGGCAAAGCTGCTCCAGGGATATCTGTGCTAGCTGTCCTTAAGTAATAGACAGTTAGTTAACACCATCTATTGCCAACACTTTATCAATGTATAGTGGGATTAGTCGTCACGTTGTAACGTCTTCACGGCTGTAAGGGCGAATATGTTCGGTGATGGGCTGTCTGTGTTGCGCCCACCACGGGTATTGAAATCCGGTTTTTAGTGTTATAGGCTGTCAGGCTTACCGCCGAATCATTGGTAGGCAAGTTTAAAATGTTTAGACCACTTCTATGTTAGAAGATAAGGCTAGTGTTCTATAATGATTTAAGGACACTGCAGACATCCATGTTTGTTATTAATGTAGCGATCTCTTGTTATTTTACAATGTACTTAACATCACTAAAACGTTTCTCGCAGTTATTATTATTTCAATTGTAAAATAAACTCATAATAGGAAAATTTCAAACAATGAAAGAGAACACGTAAAGAAATTCAGCGTGGTGTGGTATGAAACACCTAGAGTGGTGTGCCCTCTATACTCAGAATATAATATCTTATTTGTTTGTAATTTTATATATCCTTATATTTAAGAAACATTTAAACACAATTCTTTTTTCTACCAATTAACTGCGACCTTTTCCATTTTATCTTTTGTCTTTTAAATAGAAGATTTTTTTACTTGTTTCAGTGCCTGCATAATACTAATAGCTAAAACTAAAACGTTATATTGTGATGGCATACGTCATAAAATTTAAAAACGCGCGAATTTCCGTAAAGTAAAGGCATAAAGGAACTAGTTTTCTTGAATTATTCAAACACATTGCTGAAATTAATCATTGAAAAATACTGATTTGGGCTATAAGAACAGTTTGTACAAATAAGTGAAAAATTTTATGATGACTACCAACGTTGCGAGTCCTAGTCCTAACAAAGGAGAAAGGTAATGGAGGTGATTGTGAAGAATTTCGTTAAGCCTAACTTATGACACTAACAGTAACTGTCGTAGAAATTATTATTTATATTCAGTAATTAATAATATTACCATACCCGATATATTGGGCTTCTTTTCTCGTATTCTTTTTCTATGTATCTTGCGTGCATTTAAATATTGTGATTACTTACTCTGTTACACATTTAATTTTTTGCGATGAATTTGAATCAAACTCGAACTTCGAAGTAATTTAATTTAGAGCAGACTAAAAGAAAAGTAAAATTTCAAGGCTCATCGGACAGGTTAGAATACGACAGACATAATAACGGTCTAGGCATTTTATATATCATCAGTTTTCATGAACAACAACTGTTAGATATTGTTAACTTCCTGTAATAGTAACAGTTTAGTAATGTGTAACAAAATGTGACTGTGTTCTTATTAATCTTAGACAAGTTTAGAGAATCCAAAGGTGCTTTAAATTGAACCCTAATACACAGTAGTGGAAAGTAGAATTACCGGTATGAACTCTTTTTGACTTTTTAAATACATTTTTGTAAACTGTTCATGCACTAGATTGTGTAATAATATTTGAGTGGCAAAAAAATGTGATGAAAAATACCACCAATGTCACAATTTATTTTGTTAAATTATTACTACAGCAGTAGGGTTCCTTATGTATTTTATACATTTTTGTATGAGCCAATTTTTTAAAATGAAAGAAGACAAAGACATAAATATATATATATAGTCAACATGTTGACTCCACAAAGTAGTGAATAGTATATAAAGTCAATAATTGGAGGATTAGTCATATCTAAATAGCAGAGTGATTATAGCATCCATGTAAATTTTATCACCCCAGACTATCTTTGCTATAGCCATTTAAAGTTGACTCATTGAAAACTTGAATTACTTTGGCATCTTGCTACTACCTTTATGTACTTAAAAGGCAGGTATGTAGCAGCATTTGCATCTCTTGTGAAGCATATTTGTTGTCTTGTTGAAAGATAAGCATTTGTTATTATGTACATGTGGCAACATAATTTGAGAATTATCAATATCATCATTAGAGCTGGGAAATTAGTGGAATTACCTATAAGATTAATTGATGGACTTGTTAATCACGTATATTCAATTGATTTATTATTTTCCCATGAGGCTTGGGTAGTTGGAATAACTAAAAATAGTAACAATTGTAAACTAATTTTGTTTAGTTGATTGTTTTCATGCATCATAATGTTTTGGGACAACATGGGACCCGTTTGTTCATCTTGGCTGTCCCATCCTCTAAACTAAACTAAAACTATTAATATATTAATTAAAAACAACAAAAACATAAAGCCCACCCCTATCATTCATATACTTGTCAAAATTTCTCTTAAACTTGCTTAAATTTACTGATTCCACATCTCAAGGCAACCCATTCTAAAGGCCAGCCACCATTACAAATATAAAACTGTTTTAGCTGAAGATGACTCCTACCCTGTAAAAATTTATATTTGTGTCCCCTAGTCCTACTATTCTCAGTGTTAAGTATGAAAAAAAAGATGATGCATCATCACTATCAATTCCCTTTACATTAAGTTACAATTTTAAACACCTCAATCAAATCCCCTCTAACTTCTGTTTTAAAGAGAAAACAGTTTGAGAGATTTCAACCTCTCCTCGTATGACAACCCCTTCATTTCAGGCACCATTCTGATAACCTTCCTCTGAACCCTTTCCAACAATTAAATGTCCTTCCTAAGGTAAGGAGCCCAAGGCTGAACACAATACTCCAAATGTGGCCTAACCAGTGACCTATACAATGAAATTATAACATCTTTAGACTTATATTCAATATTTCTGTAGATACAACCAAAAATCCAGTTTGCCCTACCATTAGCAATAGCACCTTATAAAGTGAACTCATGACCATCTTTGACTTATACTAAGTATGTTTGTGTATACAACCTAAAATCCTGTTTGTGTTTACTAGTCAACTTATATTATGTACAAGGCATTAGACAGCACTGGCGAACCTTTTTGAGAGCATGTGCCCAAATTGTCGATAATTTTTGGAAAACTTCTTTCACATGCCCATGGAAGTTTTGAGCAGCAAAATTACTGTTATTATTATTAATTATATGTATTATAAATATTTTATATATAATTATTATATTATATAATTAATTAATTATATAATACACAATCTCTACACCTTCAGATATATATTGGTCGGGTAACAAAAAACTTGGGACAGCAGTGAATTCCGCATAGCAAGAAAATTTTCTCGCATGCCATTGGTTTGCCATCCCTGGCCTTAGAGATTTTGTAATACCTATTCCAAGCTATTTTTCCTCACCAACTTGGGTCAATCATTTTGCCCAATCTTTTAATCATCATGTAACCATGAAACTACATATACTATAACATTTATGTGTATCTTCATGAAATTTTGCAAGCTTTTAGTAAACATTACAAGTCTTTTGTACACAAAATATCACATTTTTTAATTAATTATTTTTACTAAAGATTTGTCTGTGCATTTATGGATTCATAGTCTGACTGATTCTGACTAGTCTGAGTTCAAGGTTTTTATATGTTAAAAACAAAACACATTTTTTCATCTTACAGTTTTCAAATTTTGTTTGCATAGCCTTTAGAACCTCCTATATGAGTATCAGTAGTTTTTTAAGTAAAACTTTATATCTTATCTGTAATTATTTCTCCCTTAATCATCCCAGTCCATTTTACCTACCTTGTAACCACCATAAAAAAAATGAAATAAATCTAAATTATACTTTTTTCTTTCTAGAATGACTATATATTGTAACAAAAAAACAAGTTATCCATCCTAAAAAGCTTCAGACTTTTGTAGAAGTTTTTACATATTTTTACTTAATTTAGTTTTATTGCTTTTTGAACCATGTCTAACTGCTAAACATGCATAGCAAAGCTATAAACACCTGGCCAGCAAATAGCTTATGTTACAATAAAGTATTAAATCATGTAATGCATGTGCTGCTCACATGCATATCTTGCTGATAAATGTTGTTTTTTTTCTTACCTAGCTTAATGAGTTTCTAATTGTTATATTTTGATTACTTTTATAAGAATAAAAAAAAAGGTACTTTTCCATTATACCCCCGTAATTGTTACCCGTATGTTTAAGAACCAATTATATTAGTTTTTTTAATCACCAGTTTGTCTCCACACAAAATTAAATCATAATACAGGTTAAATATGTTGTTTATTAAATAAATACAACCAAAAACTAATTTATTGTTTACTTGAACTTGAATCCATTAGTTTATATTCAGCTTGTAGATATAGGATGGTTATAATATAAATCATGCTAAATACTTTGTATTATTAACATTATGTATACATCAAAGACTAGTTATTGTCACTTGTAATAAAGTTCTGTTTCTAAGTTCTGTATAATTAAAGATAAACTTTATTACTTTAGTGTGAAGACAAACTAGGGATAAAAAAACTAACATAAATGTTTCTAAAATGTTAGGCTTAACAGTGACAGTTGTGGTGGTATAACAGAAAAGTACCATATATATATATATATATATGTGTGTGTGTGTGTGTGTGTAGTAAAAGAAATTTAGTAATAATGTGTGAGTCGTGTTCTTTTTTGCAGTCAATGAAAGTTAACCTTAATTTTTGCTTGAACAAAAAAATAACATGCACAAAGCATAAAATGTTCTATAACTATTATGATTTAAGTGGCATTTTAACTAAGCTATAAGTACATTAAAATAACTCTTTAACTGGTTGAGCTGAACTCAGAGGTAGCAACTTTGAATCATATGCCAAATAATTCAAAAGCTATTGTGCAAACAAGCTACTTCCTTTTCTGTTGGTAATAAATGCTGTGACAACTAATATAAAAGATAATTATTGACTTTTTTTTTGAAAGACAGTATATGATAAGAGGATGTGAAATGTGTGTTAGACTTTCTAGTTTGTATCTAAATGAAACAAGATGATTGTAGGCTATAAAGTATATCACAGCAATATCTGTGAGTTTGCAATATGAATTAAAACTCGGAAGTTCAAATAGGGGTGAAAAGATTGTGTAAAATGTGTAACTGGAAGTGAACAAGCGTCACATGATAGAGAAAATGGAGATTGAGAATTAAATATTTCCTTTTGAAATTTAGAAATTAAAACTTATTTGAAAAATTGGTTTAATAACTACATTTTGATGACAAGTTTACTGGCATAACTTGATAATAAAATAGTTTAATTAAAATTTAATGTAACTGTAAAAAGGATGTGACACAGACTTTTACCTAATTGTACACTGGGGGTTAACTTCAATTATTTTTCCCCAGTAAGGCTATTGTTGTATATCCTTAGTATAAGAATAATTAGCGTGTTCCTAAGCATCTTCTATCCAATTTGAAATATCCATTAATATAATCTGTAAACTTAGATTTTGTGGTTATTCCTTTATTAATGCTATTAATGCAAGTGAAAAAAACAAAGGACCTAGCACAGAACCTTTACATACACCACTTGTAACATTCATTACTCCATTGTGATTCACCCATGAATTAAAAACTGTTTGCTTTGTACCCATAAACTAACTCAATCCATTAGATATTGCACATCCTCATAAGTTGTGTTTAAGTGTTGGAGTGTAGAATGGTGTATATTTCAGTTAATGTTTTACTCTCAGATGATACCATTAGAATTCTTTTGGAAGAAAATTGACTTTATATAATATAAATATTTTAGTTCGTATATCAAAATGACTTTTTAGCTGAAATTTCAATTGCCTTACTTCGTTCTATTCCCATGAAATTTATCATCAATAGATTTCTTTCTTTTAGTGATTAACAACTAAAATTATTTGACCACAACCAAACTGTATAAATCATTGTTATAAATTACGGGACATTGAGGGGCCTTTTATCCTGTCAAGGGTGTCCAGACTACCAACATTATTTAATGCACAGAAAACTGTTCACTAAATCCAATGTTGTTTCCCCAAATATTTATTAGCT